AGGTTTTTTTTAGAGAGAGATGTGAAAATGGTAGAAACTCTAAATGATTTTTTGTTTGTTTTCGTCTAAAAGTTTAATAGCAATTGGATATAATATAGCTAAAAGCTAGTGAAAATGAGGTAGGGTAAGAGGCTAAATAGGGAAAAAACAAATTAAAAATATTTAGACATGATAGATGTCTATGTCACCAGGACCTGTTGAAATACATTATAAAATACTTAAGGAGCTGACTGGAGATTTATCTTTGGAAAGTCTTGGAATATGGGCAAGATTCCGAAAGAATGGAACAAGCCAATAGAGCCCATCTTGAAAAAAGTGAAATAAGGACAACCTGCGGAATTTACAGACCAATCAGCATAACCTCAGTTCACAAAGATAATGGAGCCAATAAATAAGGAATCAATTTGCAGAAACTTACATAAGTAACACATTATGGCTTTGTCAACGAGTCATGTCAAATTAGTCTTTTACCTTTCTTTGACAGGGTATTAAGCCTTGCGGTTAGAGAGAAAGCAGTAGATGTGATATCTCTTGACTTTAGTGAGGCTTTTGATACTCACATGACCACTTCATGAATAAACAGAGAAAAACAATTTAGATGTAGCTACTGCAAGATGGCTTTGTAACTGGTTGGAAAGCCATTCCCAGAGAGCAGTTTATCACTGGTTCACAGTCAAGCCAGAGGGGCATATCAAGTGGGATCCCAATAGGATGAGTTCTGGGTCTAGCTCTGTTGAATAGCTTCATCAATGATGGAGCTTAGATAACAGCATAGAGAGTACATATGTCAAGTTTGTGGATGATGATAAGTTGGGAAGGGTTGCAAGTGCTTTGGAAGATGGGATGAAAATTCAAAATGAATTGGACAAACTGGAGAAATGGTCTTCAGGAAATGAGAATCAACAGTGTAACATTGATGCAAAAAAATAATAATTTTGAAATGTGTTGGCAGGAGTGTTGTAAGCAAGACATAAGAAGTAATTCATGTGCTTTACTCCACACTTACAAAGTTTCAACTGGAGTATTGTGTCCAGTTCTGGGTGCCACATATCAGGAATGATTTGGACAAATTTGTAGAAGTCTGGAGAACAACAGAAATGACTAAAGGTCTAGAAAACACGATGGGATGTTAAATATCAGTTAATTGAAGGGATGTTAAATATCCGTTAATTGAATAGTTGATTACCTTCATTGATTTTTATCAGTTACTTGACTATTCTGTAGTTCCTAGGGGCAGGGCCGGCAGCCAGTGCGCTCCTGCCCCACTCCCAAGGAGCCCCCTGCCACTCTGCACTGCTGCCTTTGTATCTCAGGGAGCAGCGTGGGGTGCCAGGCGGGAGCTGGTCCGCGAGGGGAGCCAGTTTAAAATCCAGCTCCCCTCAGACTGGCTGCCTGTCTCCCTGTGTGGTTGCCTTTGATAGAGAGGCAATAGGGTGGAGTGGCAGCAGCCCCTATCCAGGGTGGGGGCTCAGCTCCCAGACCCGGCGCAAACCTGAACTGAGCTAGGCTGTCTGCCCGCCTGGCTCCTAATACAATTTAAATGTAGAGCCACAGTGGGGATAGGTCTGGGACCTGGTGTGAGCCAGGACTGAGCCAGGCTCCTGGCCAGCCTGCTAAAAAATTATCAGGGAGGGAGAGGGAAATACATGTAGTCTATACCATTAACCTATAAGCTTTTGCTTATTGAATAATCAGTTAACCATCTACCGACATTTAGTGAATATACCCCGCACCCGAATATATCCCGCGGTTTTTACCGTTTTAGTAAAAAAAAATCTTGTATAACCCGCGGGGTATACAAGACTGTGCTGGGGGTATATTTAGGGTGCGGTGGTATATTTACGGTGCGGGAGGTTAGGCTCCCAGTCTGTGACCGAACAGTGCGGGGAAACTTACAAGGGGCGCAGCAGCCGGGAACACTCCGGAGCTGGGGCAGAGGCACCCCAGCAGAGACGCAAGGTGGGAGGCTCCCAGCCCAGGCTGACAAAGGGAAGGAGCCCAGAGCAAGTTGCGGCGTGGGGCTCTGTGGCCAGCAGCAGCGACGGGAGTCTGCAGGCGGCCACGGCTCACAGGAGCGGGGCCAGGACATGGTGCTTGTTGCTCGTTGCTCCTGCGCGATCCAGCCTGGCGCCCCTCCCTGCCTGCAGCCGCCGCCGCTGCTTGCCGGACCCGCTGTGTGCTCGCTTGTTGCTCCTGGGCCAGCGCCCGCGCCCC